GTTTCATCTTCTGATTTGAATGCATAGTCAGATTAACTGAACAACTACCCATGCCCCAGTTAAGCGTAAGGGTTTGTATATCCGAAGGAAATTCCTACTTCTAGGCTCAAAGTGGTTGACTAGGGATTAACTCCTTATCTCTCCAACGTTTGGGAATTGAAATAATGTTTGTACATCATCAGCAGGATTTTATCCGAAAGCATACAATTGCAATTACGGGTGTTCAGCTTTCATCATCCTCCCTCTAATCTTTTCTAAAACAACAATTTGATAAAGAAAGTGGATGAGAGGTAAATGGACATTTTTTTATATAATTGAAGAAAAAATGAGTGAATGCGACATGATTAATTCAAAAAAAGCATCATCACTTCATTAATATTACCATTCAGAATAACAATGTTTTAAAAACAAGTAGCATTTAACGGGAAAGAAAAATACAAATGTGAATGATAAAAGTTGATCCAACAATTGTCGGTTCTGAGGATGCCTTCCTATCTGAACCACTGGCTTGAGAAGATTCACCTTGAAGTCTTCGAACTCATTCAGACAAGAGGTTGACGTGCACGACCAGGCTTCCTTCTAGAAAGGATATGTACCCTTTTTCAATCAGTTGTTGCAGTTTGGATTGAAAAGCTTTGCACTCTTTATTCAAGCGCCCCATTGATCCTCCATGGTATCCACATTTCTCAAAGGGATTGTACCCAGGAGGGTATGGTTCTAGAAACGACTTGAGAGGCTTGGGAACCACTAAGGAGCTTTAAATCAGATGTGGCAAGAGTTGACTGTATTACATAGGAACTGGATAAAGAGGATCATTCCTTCTTTCTAAGCTGTTGCGAGGTATATGCTGGCTCTAATATCCTCAACCATAGACTATTGATTTGCATGAGGAGTAATCCAGGATTTTCGACACGGTGCTCTAGGCATTGTTGGCTGCCCATAAGGATATGATGGCGCAGAAAATGATGACTGCTAAGAAGATGAAGGACCAAAAGGCATTACTGGTGCACCATGAGAATACCCAATATTTGCTATGATCGCATTAATTTCATCTTCCTCTTTCTCTTGGGAGTTGCTGAGGGATTCATTCTCACTAGCCTGAGGGATTCATTTTCACAATATTTGCTTATGTGAAAAATACAAGTTACAAAAGTTGTTTTCTAAAAAGAAAGAAAAGTACATATATAGTAAAACAAAAATTTGTCATGTTCGCCTAGCGAACTCATTCTTCACCCAACGAACTCTACTTTTTGGCACCTGAAATGCCTTAGGAACAATTAAATCGCCCTTGGAAAATATCTGAGTTTGCTGTATGAACACTTCTTCGCACAACGAACTGCTTTGCATCAAATTTGTCCAACGAACTTTGGGTCCTTTTCCTACTGCCTCTAATCTGAGAAGGTTTGCTGGGGCTTCTCCAGGACTTCGCCCTGCGAATATTCGCTGGCTGCTCGCTGTTGTTCGCCTAACGAACATGTTGATTCCTCTTCATTTCTTTGACTTCTTTGTCCACTCCTTTGTGTCTTAATCATTGATGTTTTATGCCTATTTTCTACACAATAACACACACATTAAAGAATCCAAAGGTATTTGCAATATAATTGAGAAATCACACAAGAACAAGAAATATATCTATTAAAACATGAGAATTGAGTTGAAAAGTGCGAAGAAAGATGATTCAGTTTAAGTCAAAATTTGCACTTAACACCTACCAAAAAAATGAAAAGACTTAGGAAGCTTGCTTAGTTCGTTTCAAAAGTATATAGGCTGTGAAAAATGTGAGGGTAGGTCGATGAAACTTAGGAAAATATGACAAAATCAGTATTGTCCTAACATCACAAGCCTCTCAAATATGCATTATAGTTTAAATCTCGTTTGAGTCTTAACCTTAATCTTCTATTTGTAAAAAATCCTTAAAGTAATTTTTATATCCAGTCAGGTAAGTAAAAGATGAATAATAAGTGAATGATCCCATGCTAAGGAAAAGATGAATAAAAAGGAATAAGCCACATTTACTAAGTTAGAGGATCCTCATTCGATCATTTAGCCCAAAAGAAGTGGTTGAATCCTTTAAATAGAAATAAAAATGCATATTTGAAAAAGAAAGAAAATTTGAAAATCCGAAAGAAGTGTTAGGATCATAGTCACTAACAGACCGCCTACCATGTAATATGAGAGATAAAAGGTCTTAATGTGACTGTCACAAACGAAAGAAGATTAAAATAAATAGGGAAATTATAATTTTATTCAATGGCATGATTGGAACTAATATGCATAGGAGGGAGACCTATGTCCAGGAGAGTGGTTTGTGTTGTTATAATACCCTTAGTGTTGCATAAGTACCTATTGAGTCGATCCTAGCCGAGCTAATTGTCATCATCCACATATGAGTAGTTTTGATACTTCATGGTGCTTTAATGTCTTTCCTATCATGTTGTTGCATTTCGTTGAGTTTATGCTAGCTAACTTTCTTGAAGACAAGCAATGGTTCAAGTGTAGGGGAGTTTGATAACTCATAAAATTATCGCAATTTTGACTTGATATACATGCAAATTTGAGTCGTTTTCTCTTCCTTTTTTATAGGTTTATGTTTGTACTTGTCCTTTGTTTCAGGTATTTTGATTGTAAGAATGATCGTGCAGAGAAATGGTGGAAAACGGCAAAAACGGGAGCAAAAATGCAGTTTTGCATTGTCATGACGCCCGCCCTGCCAGCATTTTGTCCGTCATTACGTGGCAAATGGAGGATCATCACCACTAAAAGAAAGATCCATAAGAAGTCTAACATCAGCACCATGACGGGTATGGTCGTCATGACCATGACGCTCGTCAAGGCTTCCCACTCATGATAACCAATGGCGTCATGACCATGGCGTCTGTCATGGATCTTGCAGTTCATATTTTTTTGGCACATTTCCAACTTTGACCATATTTTTTCTACTACTTTCTCCACTACTTTCTGCATGTTATGGTACACCCTAGTATGAATTTTTACTATATAAATAAGTCCTTAGAGTTCATTTCTCATGATCAAATTTTAGAAAATTGATTTTTAGGCAAAAACTCAGTATTTGTAAAGTAGTTATCTTCTCGCACTGAGAAATATTTGCACCTTAGCTTAAGTTTCTACAAATTTCCAAACAATATTTGAATCGTTTACATTGTAATTCTGCCAACATCAAAATTATAGAGTTTAATTCAAAGTTCATTCAGTACTTGTTTTGGAACAATTTAATTTTTATTACGTAAATTTCACTGCATTAACAGGTTTTTATTTTTTTAGTGTTTTTCTTATTACTACTTGTTATTATTAGCTACATTGCATGAGTTTAGAGTATTATTATAATATATCAAGCATGTTTAGAAGTTTAGATTTAATATACAATATCCGTCTTTGTTCAGTTTACACGATGTTTGGCTAAATTCTTCAAGTCTGGAATGTGAGAATCATCATTCTGACGGTATTTGCATTTAAGTCGTTATTTATCTGGTTAAATGAGATTTGTTTAAAGGTTGTATTTTTATTTGTTTTAACTTAAATATTTATTGTGAAAACAAAAATTAGAGTTACCGATTCAGATTTGAAAGAACAGAACCAATATCGAACTTCGCAAAAGCGTGCGTTTATGCACTTAAAATCCGGTATTAGACGATGCTAAAGCCGGTAATACCTTTAAGCATATTTTTCACTTTAAAAACTTTTCGATTAATTGAAAGTGATTAATTAAAAAAAATTATACTTTAACACGCTGAACACGTCAAAGTGGCAATATAGATTTCAAGCTGAAATTCGGTTTTGGTTACGCGAAAATAAACTATTCCTTTTGATTAATTCATTCCCTTAAGATAAAATATTACCCAATTTAATTAGTAATCAATACGACTTTGCGAGTACTGTTGATCGATTCAAGTCGCATTCTGGTCTTCATCTTTAATTGATTTATCCATATTAATTCATTTGTTATTTTGCATCCTCAATTATTTTCAGTATTCTTAGATTTACATAACAAAATAGATAATGATACATTTGATAATTGATTTACGTGAGTTCGATAATCACTTATATTACTATGATATTTCTGTGCACTTACAGATTTGTCATTAGACATAAGACATAGCATTAAGGTAAAAAAAATTAATTTTGACAAAAATTTAATTTAATTTAATTACATTTTACAAGTGGCTTCCATTTATCCTCTGAAATTGATTATACATTTTATAAAAGGCTTTCCAACTTTTTCCTTTTCAATAGCTTTGACAAGATGGTGTATTAGGTTATGCAAATAAACAATGGTTTAGTCACTAACTTTAGAATGAACCATCAAATAATCTTACACATACATCTCCTCCTGTACATACCTTTCACGACACACAAAGAGGTGCAATGAAACAGTATTCGAAACCTTTCTTTCCTCTCGATTTACAAAACAACGAAAGTAGGGTCTAACACTAGCCTAACATAAAAGAAAAGCAAACAAAAAGGCCATGAATGCAAAGAAAGATGAAAGAGACGCAATAAAGGAAAACAAAAAAGAGAGAGCAATGTGCAAATGCAAAAAAAAATATGAAACGGTGGACAAGACACATTTAGTTGATGTACATAGGAGTAAGATTTTAGGCAGGAAAAATGATAGTGGGACCCACATGTAGCATTCTTTCATTTGACCAATTTTCTCTCTCCCATTGAATTTCCCAACCAGGGTTAGTTAGATATAATAAGATTCCAAGTTAGATGCCAACACATCACACGTGTGGGAGGGGGCAAGAAACGAGTCAGGGGGCATGGCAGGGAGTGAGGGTTGGTCCAATGGTCCCTCTTTCTGTTGCTGTTGGGTATGTTCCTCTGTTTCATCTCATATAAGAGAAAGCAAACACACATCTTAGCTAAAGAGAATTTGCAGAGCCTTCAGATTTAGCATTATTCTTCTTATTCCCCTTTTTAAATATTTTTTATTTTTCGTACCTTCATTCCTTCTTCCTCTTGTCTCTTAACCAAAAAAAATGCGTGGCTCATTACAACCGTTGGATTTAGCTATTCAGATTCCCTACCACTTCAGGTGCCCAATCTCTCTGGAGCTTATGAGAGACCCTGTTACCGTCTCCACCGGTCAAACCTACGACCGTAACAGCATCGAGTCATGGGTGAACACCGGCAACACTACGTGTCCGGTCACCAGGGTCAATCTCACCGATTTCACGTTCATTCCTAATCACACTCTTCGCCGTTTGATTCAAGAATGGTGCGTCGCGAACCGGGCCTTCGGTGTTCAGCGTATTCCTACTCCCAAACAGCCTGCAGATTCTGCACTGGTTCGTTCTTTGCTTATCCAGTGTTCTTCCCATTCTGCCCCTACTCAAATGAGGCTTAACTCGCTTCGTCGACTCAGGTCACTCGCTCGTGACTCGGATTATAATCGTTCTTTGATTGGTTCTCTCAACGTTCGTCATGTTTTGTTACCTATTGTTTTCGACTATAACGGTTTAGATGAGATGAAATATGACTCACTCGCTTTGCTTGTTCTTTTTCCACTCAGTGAGTCGGAATGCAGTTCAGTTGCTTCCGATTCTGATAAGATTAACTATCTAACGAGTCTGCTTACAAATTCTTTGTTTGATGTCCGAGTCAACTCGGCGGCGCTCATTGAGATCGTCGTCGCGGGAACTCACTCGGCGGAGATTAGATCTCAGGTGAGCAATGTCGACGGGATCTACGACGGCGTGGTTGAGATACTTAAAAATCCAATCTCGTATCCGCGCGCGCTTAAGATTGGGATCAAGGCCTTGTTCGCACTCTGCCTTGTGAAACAGACGCGTCACCGTGCTGTGGCTGCCGGTGCGCCTGCGGTACTTGTTGATAGGCTCGCTGATTTCGAGAAGTGTGATGCGGAGAGAGCGTTGGCGACTGTCGAGTTGTTGTGCCGTGTACCGGATGGTTGCGCGGCTTTTGCTTCTCACGCGCTTACGGTGCCGATGCTTGTGAAGATAATACTCAAGATTTCGGATCGGGCGACGGAGTACGCTGCCGGAGCGCTAATGGCGCTGTGTTCGGAATCGGAACGGTGTCAGAGAGAAGCGGTTACGGCAGGGGTGCTGACTCAGCTTTTACTTCTGGTACAGAGTGATTGCACGGAGAGAGCGAAGAGGAAGGCGCAACTGTTGCTGAAGCTACTTCGGGATTCGTGGCCTCAAGATTCCGTCGGAAATTCCGACGATTTTGCATGCAGTCATTTTGACTGATTTTTTTTCTTTCATTATTGTAATATCTCAATTTTTAGAAAATTATTTAGATTTGAATACAAAAATAGAGAAAAAAATGGACATAAAATGTGAAGTTCAGTTTAGAATCTTTTATTAATTTTTCTACTTTTTGTATGTAAGAATTATTATTATTATTATTATTATTATTATTATTATTATTATTATTATTATTATTATGATGAAGAACAAGAACAAAATGTTTCGTTAGAGTTATAATTTTGTCCCATGGAAAATTCTAAAGTTGATTATTGAGTGGTAGTAAAACATTCACTGGCATTTTGGTTGAAGTACACGTTTCTGAAAGTTTATGGACAGAGAAGGGTGTTTGACTTCCAAGGTAAATCATTTTGAATAATCATTATGTTGGGGGCTCTTATTCATGGCTGCTCCTGCTCACCAAAGAAGAAAGATACTTACCTTTCTTGTTCTCTTTTCTTCATTTTCTGTAGTCCATACATCAATTCTAATGTTTTTGTTTCTTGCACTCATCTTTCAATGACCCAACTTAATTTTATTTAATTATTTATATTCTTTGGAAATGTCTTATCCTATTTTATGAGATGGAAAAATATCTTTTGAAAAATTTAAAATGCATTTTAGATTTTGAAGTTTTATTTTCGGATATATTTTATCTTAAGTCAAAATGTCAACTCTTCAGAGATACACTTCTTTAATATTTCAAAATACACATCATACATCTTTCTTTAAAAGGTCTATTTTACACGTTTATTGTTTTGAATATGTATATTTATTTAGGATTTATGGAGATGCATATTTGTAAATAGGCAAAACACACACCATACATCACTCATTAATGTACCATAGCTCCAGTCGCTTTCAGCTATGATACGTAATGATTTTTCGACAAGTTTACCGATAATATCGCAGCAATAAAAAAAATCGAATCTACAAAACCTGCTATTTAACAAGACAAAATTGTGCAATGCATAGAAAATAGTAAATTGTGGGGGTGGGGTTTCGAGTTTGAAGTGTGAAAATAAAATAAAGTATTATAACAAGTTTAATAAAGCGGTCAGGTTATGTATAAAATCTCCTATTTCTCTATTGTTGACATTCAATGCATTATATGAATGATATTGTCACTATAATCCCACGACGAATTAACAAAATCGCTATAACCAATTCCTTGTAATATAGCTTACTAATCACTACTCGGAATTTCCTATCCCTACTCTACCTGCGTAAGCAGGATTAGGCAATGCACTAGCGCTTTAATTCACTAACCAATAGTCGGGGTGTCATATTCCTATTCAACGAGTGTAAGCACAATAATTGCCCTAGGTCCAACACATAGGCTAATGGTCAGTATTTCATATGTGTCCAAAATCAGATTAAAAGAGTGTCTCACATAAAAAAAAACATTAAGAACAAGGTGAAACTAAATAGAATTATAGATCAAAGTATTCATGCAATATCAAATTAAACATATGTCCCAACAATATTAAAATAGGTTCATCAAACACAGTCTAACCTAGAGAGATTTAGCTACTCATAATTCAAATTACAATACCAAAATCAAAGAATAATGTTTGCATAAGAATTCTCTTGAAGGGTTGACCTCCAATGGCTTCCAATGTTCTAAAAAATCACTTATGGTGTTGTAAAACTCGTACTTCCTGTGTAGAATTTCGTAACCCTTGAAAAAGTTTAGAAAGTCCCCTTAAAAAACCTTCAGATGAATCAGAACGCGTTAGAAAATCTCAGAAAAAAGAATCATCGCGCACGTGATGACTTGCATCATGCGCGCGATGAAGTTGATACATCCCTATTGCGCATGCGATGCAGCGTGTGATTATTTTAATATCTGCACGTTTTTTTCTCTTTTTCACCTGATTTTCACTAAGTCTCTATTTCTTCACACTTGACTATTTTCCCTCATTCTTTGGTCCTTATTATTCATCTTTGCTACTCTTTATTATTTTGATCCGTTTCTTCGACTGAATTCATGCAATGACGGAATGTTATCACAACGCCAAACTCGAATAGTTGCTTGTCCTCAAGTAACTTGCCTGCAACTACATATTTCAATAGAAAACAAGTTGCACAATAACAATTGAAGATTACCATGTAATTTTTTTTCTTTACCTGACCGTTGATTTAGCCTTCAACTTCTATCCAGCAAATTCGGAAAACGTCCTCAAACTTTGACGAGTATTCAACATGTCTCTCATCTCACTTTGACTCACTCAATGGATAAGTTAATCTCTCAATCAACATGCAAAATAGTTTATACTTAACTTTATGAAGTTCTAATATAATTCATCAAAGAAATCAAAACACACACATTTGAGGTCTTTTTCGGTTGTATCTTGGGTGATGTTCGGGTAAGGATATTTTTGAGAAAGTAGGTTTAAGTCTTTGGAGTTAGGTGCCTAGTTCTCCTTTTATTATCATACCCTTTTGTTCGTTCTTGAGGTACTAGAGAATTTTCTATTATGGTCTTACTTATTCATTTTGCATTCTTTTAATCTTTTTTTTAAGAAGTTTCTTTTTGCACTTCTTATTTTCTCAAAATTTTAAATTTTTGACCATTTTCCTCTAGTACCCCAACCCCAAACTTAAATTTTTTCTGACTTTCAAGAGCAACCTCAAACTTAATCTTTTTCATATCCTTTACGAACTACAATTCTAACTTACTCCAAAGAAAGGGTGGAAAGATAAGTTCTTTCAAGTTAGACGGTTAAAAAATTAAGCCTAAGTCACCAAAGAAAAGGATAAGTTCAAAGTGGTTAACAATGGATATACCTATTAGTACAGGGTGGTAAAAAAATGCTCAAAGTTGTAAACAAACAACTGCTTCAGTGTGTGTCAATCAAACCAAAAAAATTTAATCGGAAATAGATAAAACAATAATCCATGGATACACTCAATGAAAAAGAATAGTGAACAATGGAATTTATTTGGCTCAAACCTTACTAATTGAGGTATATGTGTGGCACCCCAAAATTTGACCAACCGGTTCTCCTAGCTGGCTTGTGGTTTAAATTCGTGTTCGCATATCAGATGCATGACATTTGTGCACAGACAGAGGATATCAGAGTTACAGTTTGGGTTTCGTCTATCAGATATTTCAGATCCAGTCTGGTCATCAGGGTTTTATTTCGGGAAATTGTGCGCTTCTTGGGATTTTCAGCTTGCATGGCGGTTTTTGGGACATTCTGATGCCAGGGGTTTATTGTTTGATTCGATCTGGTCTCGCGCGCTCTTTTATGGTGATCATTTGCATTTGTCTGCATTTTTTAGGGTTTAATAGCCTTCTGCGGATTTTAAATGGGCTTTTTAGATTTTTAGGATTTAAATAGGGTTTTTACCATTTTTTTTATAGTGTAAATCATTTTTTAGAATTTTATAGATTTTTCTTTTATTTTAATAGAATTTAATAGTTTTTTAAATAGAAATAAATAGAGTTTGTTTTAATATAGTTTTTCTTTTAAATAGATATTATAAATAGATGGTAAATTTTTAGTAGGATTTTAATAGATTTTCTTTTAAATAATATTAGAGATTAAATAGAAATTAGTAGAAGTTTTATTAATATAGGTTTAATTAGATTTTTAATCATTTTTAGGTTAATTAGGAGTTAATCTTTTGTTTAGATTTAATTGAATTTGTTAGAATTAATTAGGATAGTTAATTGGCATTTAGATTTAATTACAGTTTAATTCTAGTTAGAGTTTAATCAATAGAGGTTAATCAAAATTTAATCTTTGGTTCAGAGTTTATTTGAGTTCATTAGGTTTAGTTTTAATGGGTTTAATTAGGTCGTCATTAGTTAATTAGTTTTAATTAGGTTTAATAGTTTGTTAAATCAGTTTTTTGGTCCAGCTAGTATCAGTCTCGTGGGCCAGAGTGTGCAGTTGGAGGCCCAAAGTCTATCAAGTCTTTTTATCCATTTTTATTCAGTCCTTTTTTTTTCCATTTTTGGCCAGAAATGACACTTGTCAAGTATAAATAAATCCACGCGTCCTTTCCAGGACCCACCACCTCACATCTCAGAAATCCCCACACACTGACACCTGCCCCACTATCTCTCCCTCTCTCTGCCAGCACCCACACGTGGCGTCGTGCATGCGCCCACTCAGCCCTCTCCCGTGACACTTGTCACGCCATCCTTCTCGCCGGACCCCATCGCCGCCGACCATGCAGCAACCGTGACCAGCCACCTCCGATCATTCCGACCGTCTCCGGCCGCCGTCACGTCACCAGAAACTGCAGAAATTCCCAGAAAGCCCAGAAACTCAGGATCTTCATCTTCTTCCTTTTCTTTCCTCCGATCCCCAGCCACACGCCCTCGCCGGAGAATTCATACCCGCCGAAATCTTCATACAAAGAACATCACCGTTCGTCCGTTTTTCTCAAGAGCTTCAAGGATCTTTCCGTTCCAGCGACGATCCACTCCTCAGTGTTCATCGATCTGGTGGGATCTTCATCAGCTTGAGTCGTTCGTCCAAAATCCCCAGAATCTTCAAGAGCCTCCGCTCCAATTTTCTCGCCAGGATCTCCCGATCACTCTTAGATCTTCAAGAATACCAGATTCTCGGACTTTTCCTTGAGAAATCTTCAGCAAACGGAGCAATTTCTGCAACCTCCTTCCACGATCTAGGCCGCTTCGACATCAAGATCAGCCAACTTCAAGCGAATCTTCTTCGTACTTCATTTTTCCAGAAACTTCAACAAACTTCTTCAAAAGTCCAACAGTTTGTTCTTCGCTTCGTCCAGGTACGCGTCCATAAGAATCATTACTCGTTCTTCTTGATTGCTGAAAAAGTTTAGCTTGCATTTTGTTTCACTGAGAGTAAAGATTGGCTGGGGTTTATGTTTGATTGTGAGGGAGTACTGATGGTGAGGCCGTGAGGTTCATTCATTGTTTCGTTTGAGAGGGAGATGAGAGTGTTAAGTCTAAGATGTTGATTTGTTGTTTGAGAGTTCGTGTTTGAGTTTTGGTAAGAAGAATGTGG